GGCAGACCAGATCCCGACCGGTATGGGGGAAGAGAAGTCCCTATAGGCAGCAGCAGCCGTTGGTCAGCACATCAGGCCCTCAATCAAAGGACACACTCAAGTGTGATCCAGCCCCATCGGACCAGTGCAGCGCAGCACTTCTGCGGAATCAGACGGGGGCGCTCCGATGACTCTCTCCGCCCTCCCCCTGTCTAACTGAAGGCTGCGGCGTGACGGAACCGAACATAAGGGTTTCCCGTGGCAAATGATCTCCTCTTCTCGGCTCCTCTCTTCATGTGAGGCCACAGCAGACTGGATGTTTTTGTTAATTACAGCCACTTTTCTTCGTCATCAGGTTTTACATAGTTTGAAGACATGATTTTCGCCGTGATAACGGCGGATTGGAGCCACGTCGAACGTAACCTACACTGCGTAACTGTTCCGAATGTTTCAACATTCTTTGAACCGTGCAGCAAGACGTCATTGAAGCGGCTATTGTTGCCCAACAACATCACATGCCTCGCGTTTAACGCAATACTCGGTGCCAGCATCAACGCCGGTGTCGTCATCATTGGAGATTTACCACGCACTCAGCTGCTGAGGCTGTATGACGTTGCCTGTCTCTCATCCTGGCAGGAAGGGCCACGTGGCTCTGGTTTCCCAGACGTGCTGCTAGATCACTACACTACCGGTACTCTGCTATGATCCGTCTGTCGCCCTATGTGTGCATGTACTGCTCTCCCATCACTAAACAGAGTGGTAACATATACAACAAGGTGACCGGCATTCTCCACAGCCCCGGCCGCTGCGTGCCCAAACATGTAACCACGTTGTGAATTATTGGAAACGTTACCAAATGTGTGTGCATGTTACTGATATGTTGATGCAACGCATTCCGTGATTATCTCTAGTCTATAGTAACATGATGGCCTTTGAAGGCCTTTCCCGGTTCACCATACTACGGCTGGAGGTCGTTACCAAAACAAAACAAAAACCATCGCTGTTGTCCCGCATGTGCGCACGAAGTCTCACCGCGGAACGCACTGATGGATCGTTTAACACGCGCCCGGGTGGCCAGTTAAATCCTTTCGCTCGGGGGGGTCAATTTGACCCCCCTGAGATCTCGGGAACTAAGAAAGCTAGAAACACCAAATTTACAGAATGTGTTGACCTGTACGTGGACTCACTTAGGCCAAAATTTGAGGTTCCTAGGTCATGACCCTCAGGTCAGATAAGGTCAACCAAGGTCAAATTCCAAGTTGGTCTCCAAAGTGCCCCCAGAACCTAGATAACTGTTTCTAAGCAAAAGGTCACAAGTTCATTTAAGGTCAGTGACCTTGTTTGATCTTTTGAAAGTCATGGTGACCAAAACCCATGCAAGACTGCTCTGAGTTTTGTATTTGAATAAGCGACAAAGATTACGCTGGACAGAATGTTCCTAAAAACAAAACGTCGACCTGGGCCATCTTAAGTCAATGACATATTCTTACCTCTCAGACGTCAATGAAAGGTGCATAATGCGGCTCCTGCTATGAATAAATCTGAAATGAGCACCAGAAACTATCTCATATAGCAAGCCCTAGAGCAATAAAACAGGTTGGTTTTGACCTTGGTCTGGCCTTTATACCTGACCTTAGGTGAACGTAATTTGCTCATTCAATATTTGTGCTGCCTAAGAAAGCATCTCAAAGGTGTATGGCTTCGCCAAACATTCCGTTGTTGCATCAGATTGAACAATTTTCTAGAAATTGCCTTTGCTGAAACCGTGGCCTGACTTTGACCTGCCATGAGTCAGCGATCTTACAAGGTTTATCTACATTTTTACATCAGGCGATCCGCCACTCAATTGTCTACAGCTATGCAAAATTTGGCACGGCTGCGCTGCGCCGTTCGGAAACCATTCTCGAAAAGCCTTCGGGGGGGGGGGGGAACTTGACCACCCTCCTCGCCCGAACGCGTGTTAACCAGCCAGCGATGGTGCACACACAACGATAGAGCGTTGGGTGGAAGCTTCTTCATCGCAGCTGCGCATCGGCGTTCGATGGAGTTGCCCAAAACGGCCCAACAGTCACAGCGAGGTTAAACAAACATGGGATCGCGAATTGAATAACTGGTCAAGCTATGGAGCCCGGCAGTTCAAACAATTCTCCATCTGTAACAGTAATGCCTCGCATTAATTATTCCGCCAAACTGAAACATGAAATTCCCCGCACCTCATAGGGCCTAACACAGTGACGTGTGGCCGGTCGCAGCTACCCTGCCTGGCTTGTCGCACCACGTGGCAGCGTGGCAACACGCTGACGGTGGGCGAAGAGCATCATCCGAGACACGCGTTTTCTCCGGTCGTATCGCGCACTGGCGCCGACCGGTCGCGGCCGGGCCGGGCGGGCCCAGGAGCGGTGCCACACACACGCCGTCTGTCGTCCCGACTAGACTCGGCCAGTTGGCAGCTCCGCCTCTGCCGGTCGGGAGCGGCGTCCCTGGCGCTGTGGATCACACCCCAGCCAGCGGCAGACACGGCCACACAAGACCGGGCGACGGAGCACTGAGTCCAGGACGCGCTGCCACCGCCGGTCGCTCGCCGCCGTCAGTCACGCGACGCTCGCCGCCGTCGGTCACGCCACGCTCGCCGCCGTCAGTCACGCGACGCTCGCCGCCGTCGGTCACGCCACGCTCGCCGCCGTCGGTCACGCCACACTCGCCGCCGTCGGTTACGCCACGCTCGCCGCCGTCGGTCACGCCACGCTCGCCGCCGTCAGTCACGCGACGCTCGCCGCCGTCAGTCACGCGACGCTCGCCGCCGTTTCAGGTGCTCATCCGTCACAACGTCATGCAGGACCAGAACACGGACAGGCTGCTGACTCAGCTGGGCCACACTACTGAAACTATGGCGCGTATGAAGCATGAGTTCAAGGTCAGAGGGCAGCGCTGGCAGCGCTGACACGCTGGTTCACGCTGGCGGTCGTCCGTAGAACGTGATTCAAACAGCGGCCGCAGCTGACATCCGCAGGATCTCGACATCTTTTCAAAAGTGCAAGATGGAAAGATGTTGGCAAACCCAGTGCAGATGCGCTCGCGGTTTGATGGAATTCGCAGGGGTTTCCTCGGTTCAAAGTCGATAACCAAATGCGTTATGACCGCAGCATCAATCGCATTCATCTTCACTTGTTCAATACCCCGCCATCCATCTGTGGAAAATCGCCCATCGCATATGCTGCTTTATTAACACCTATCATTTCCGCAGGGTATCTTAAAACACACTGAGAAACAAGTGGAACAGATGCAGCGGCAGATACAGGCTTTCCAGACCAACGTCACCTCCGACATAAGGAGTGTTCGCCAGATGATTGTGAGTGTGCCTCCCTGTCACGCGATGATAAGTGTTAATTGCACCATGAGTGCCGAATGCTGCAGCCGTAACTTGCAGCCCACTGGCCAGCTACATACACCCGGCCAAGCTGCTGAGAACATCCCGGTATCCGCACAGGCCATGTCACTCAGCCGAGGCCACCGTGCTCGGCGATGTCGTGCGCCTGGGCACGAACATCGACAACGGATTGATATCGTCGGTGACGATTGATCTTCTAGGGGCGTTCGACAGTGTCGACCATGGCGTCCTCCCCACCAAGCTGGCGGGGCGGGCAGCTCCCTCTGCCGAAGTTGTGAGGCATGCCACACGTCTCGGTCATTGGTCCGATTCTCATCATTTCGTTCACTAACACCTGTCTGGATCTGTGGCAAAACGCCGCCTCGTTTCAATATACGATCCTTTGCACCTGAACTGTGCGCCACCTGGCGGTCCGGGCCTATCTTTCCAAACCATCAAAATTATAGGTGCCATGGTGGAGTTAGGCTTGCTTTCGGGAGCGCAAGTCAAACACGAAGTTCAATCATGCAACAGCATCCTTGTCTCTCCGCACAGATTTTGGGACTACTCCTAGCCGGAAGTCATCAGAATTCTTATTCAAACATACGTATTTCCTAATGCAGGGCATTGTCTTCGCGTGATAAGTGAGGCTGCCAATGATCAGTCGCATAAAACTTAAGTTTACCGATCTAAGTCAGTAAAACTAAGTAAAACTAAGTTTACCGACCTCGCGACTAAGATCACTGGATCTGGATCACCACTGGACTTCCACATTACCCCGGCTCCAAACACTCTTTTGGATGGCCAAGGACCGCGACCCTGGTGGCGCATGGTGACGCAGTAAAAGGTTTCAAGGTATGGACGCAGGAGGGCGCACCCGTCGAGATCCGCGCGCTGTTTACAAGGCGCGCCGCCGAGTCCTCGCGTGGTACGCGTACCTCTGACACGGGCAGTCTCCATCTTTGCAAGCGCAGACTCGCTTCGACACAGAGCGTCATTTCATATCGCGCAGCCTCTGCATGGAATCGCCTGCCATCGTCTTTAAGCACGATCACTGCACTGAGCGTTTTTAAGACTGCCATATATACAATGTGAGGAAAGCCTGCCGTCAAGATCTCTGTTATACCTGTGTGGCATGCTGTTAGTTTCCATCTGACTGCAAAAATAAATGTAATACCTGGGTGTCCTGCGTGACAGCCAATCCAGGTGCAGAGTGCCCCTCATCGTTTGACGAGGAACAGTAAAGCCCATTTCGTGGATTGTTTCAAATAAATTGAGCAAGGGTGAACAGGAAAGGTAACTCCATTTTCCGCCCCACACTGCCAATGTCACGAGCATCAAGGGCATTAACCAGATCAGCAGCGCCACAGCGATCACGGCAGGAAGGCGCGGCGGCCGTGACGGCGCCGGCACGCCAGTACCAGGTGGGGGGCACGTCATCAAACGGCGCCGCCTGCCGGCTCAAGGCGGAGCCCCGGCCGGGAGCGCTGACCGTGCCCCGCCCGCAGGAGCCGGACAGCGGCAGCGGGGCACGCGGGCGCCGCCGCCCGGCCGCCAGCCTGCTTCACCTGCGGCGCCGCTGGCCGTGCGACGAGCGCGCCCACGGTCGGCGCCAGCGCTCGGCCGGGGCGGATGGCGGCAGCGCGGCCGGCACGCCGGCGGACGGCGGCCGGGCACCGCGGCGCGGCGAGTACCAGGTGAGCGTGGCCCCCCTCCGGCGCCGTCCAGCCGGCGGATGGCGGCAAGGCACCGCGGCGCGGCGAGTACCAGGTGAGCGCGGCCCCCTCCGGCACCGTCCAGCCGGCGGACGGCGGCAGGGCACCGCGGCGCGGCGAGTACCAGGTGAGCGTGCCCCCACCCCGGCACCGTCCAGCCGGCGGACGGCGGCCAGGAACGGGCGGCAGCGGAGCGGAGGGCGCCTCCTGATGCTACGCCATAACGCCCCAGTGGCTTCAACAATAGCGCACACCCGCTGTTTCACTTGCACGTGAGGACACTCACCTGCCTATGGCAGTGCTGCAGGCGGTCTGGTATGTCCGTCGTCATACCAGTCATGTCCGTCTGCACAACTCAGAATCTCGCTGGCCATCACAACCGCGTCTCGGCGACACCATCTCCCGAAAAGATAGCTTGAACGTGCGTGTGTGTGCGTGTGCGTGTATGTGTACTCCGTGGCGTGCCGCTGCGATCACCGACAAAGCGGGCGAACTTCCGGCCGTGTCCAGCTGGCGTGTGCCGCAGGTGGTGCGCCAGACCAGCGCGGAGTTAAAGCACGTGCTGGACCAGTTTGATCGCGTCGAGCAGCACTTGGCCGACGGCCTCAGCTGGATGCACTGCCGCTTCAGGGAGGAGCTCAACGTTCAGGGTAGGTGGGCGGTGCGGGCTACATCAACACGCGTCCAGAGCGTGCCCAGTGGACGTCGGCCCGAACTGGCCGTCTGGCGGCCCGCCCGCCTCAGTTTTGGCCACCATGCCCAGGTGTCTGGGATATGCGTTTCCATGTCGTAGATGTGTTCATACAGGACTGGCATCCACAGTGGTGGGTCCTTCCGACGTTAGCAGACATTTCAGGGCGGCAGGTCCTTGGAGCGTGCGGTTGTTAATCGATGCGATGCTCCTGATGCCGGCCTCTAGCTGTACTTCCCGGATCAGGCTATACGACCGACCGCGAAGCGCCTCTGTCCCCAGTCTCCGTAGACATACCTTACTGGGATGTTGATAGCTGTTCAAACGTGCACCGAGCTACACACTACAGACTGATGTCCACTCGAAGACGTACACCCGGCTGCCCTGGCTTTCTCAGTGCTGTTCGCAGACGTCTACCGGGCACGCTGTTCGCACGCTGACCGCTGACCACTGGTTACATACATAAAACTGACTGCTGCGACAAAAGGCCGCCAGCTCACAGAAGGGTACACGTAGCTCAGCGAAGCTGCTCGTCTGGGAAACCAAGGATAAGGGGTTAGATCCCCGCGGTGCCCACTCTTCCTGCCTGGGCGAAACGAAGGTGAAGCCTCATAGCCTCGGCTGTCGAGTGAGCTGAAAGTATCCAAAAGCCACAATGGCAACATCTCACAGATGCCCACCGATGCGAGCGTGCTCAGTGCCCACGTGCTTAAGTTTGACAGCTGTTTGCAGACGTCAACCTGGCGTCTCTGGCCTCATCGCTGAGGATGCGCTTCCGGAGGTTCAACGACGTACACTCCCGTCTGGAGGCGCAGAGCGACAGCATCCTGGCCATGCAGACGGACGCGCGGGCCACCAGCAGTCACGCACTGGCCACGATCCTCGAGCGGCTGGAGCAGGGGTGAGTGGACCGCCGGCCGGCACCGGCTCGCGGCCCACCCGCCTTCGCCGGTCCGCCGGCCTCGTTTCGTTTGCTTTCGTTCTGACGACAGATTGCGACCCCCACGGATTCGCATAAAGTCCACGCGCTGTTTTCGCCGGCGCTGGCAGCGTGAAAGGGTTGCCAAGGAAGCGGCCTGCCTGGTTTTAGCGTGGGTACGGCAATCCAAGCACAGCGCTAAGAAGTTACCCCCTTCATCGCCAGATGTCATCCAAGCAACGAACCCAGAACTGACTATGACCTAAGCCCTTATAACGACATGATGGACCAAGTAGTCAAGCTGGAACAATCCGTAAACCACGGATTCGTCAAACTCCAGGTGATTGCCGTCATGGACGCAACATGGGGTTGATGGGAAGGTAAATTAAGCTTTGCACCATTCTTTTCATTGCGGTGCGCTAATTTACGCTACACTTATTAAAATAGTACGTTAATCGATAATTAAGGTACTAATTAAAACGCTACTTGCGCTAATTCACGCGCTAACTTACCTACGACTAAAACCAATGAAAGAGCTTCTTACAAACAATGGTGTTGCGCAAGGTTTCCATGGTGCAGAATAAAACACGGACTGGCACAGGGCGCACCTGTCAGCGCGTTGGCGCGTTAGCACCGAGGTGTGCCTGCAGACACAACTAACAGCTGTCCCCTGCACGAACGGCCAACTGGACGCTACCACAGTGCCGCTCACAGGCCTTCCATTCTGATCGAGACGCCAACGCAGCGGTCCTTGTTACAGACGGAGGTGCAAGAGCTGTCGCACGCCCTCCGACATGTCCGGGTGCTCCCAGGCGAGGAGGAGGGAGAGGAGGACACGCACCTGGGCATGTGGATCGACTGGGTGTTCGGTAACGTCTCCCAGCAGCTGCAAGAGATCGCTCTGAAGCTGTCGCCGCCCGAGACAACATGAGCTGCCGCCAACAGTGAAGCAGCCGGTGGCGAAGCACCAGAAGTCCCTCTGCCACGCAGCCACCATATTCGAGCGCGGGAGTGCGTGACACCGCTCTGTCCTGTGACTCTGACTCTGACTCTGACGCGACTCTGTGCAGCAGCACGCAGACATGTACATTGGGGACAACCGCATGCATGGTGACGGCTGTGGCCAAGATCAACGCACAAAGTGCGCGCGAAACGTGCTACCAGTGCAAGGGTACATAGGCAGAGAATGCGGGATGGGTTTTCCAGGCGGATTGAGCGTCCATACGCCATTGTTCACACCAGAGACGCAACTTCTTGTCCTTGGGTCATGTGGTGAGCACTGAAAGAGTTGGGCGTTGCCCCAATACGTAGTCACAAGCTCGTGAAAGATATCCGCGTGATCGACCTAGCCAGTGTCTGAAACTGGGGGTTTCTTGGCGTTTTTGGCCCAAGACATTTTATTCTCCACAAATATACAGTTGAAAGAACTAACAATTTTCTCAGTGAGCAACAAGAGTGGCAAATGGCCCTCTCCCCTACCATCAACGGCGCCACATAACAAATACCCACGGCTGAGAGGGATGCTGCAGGTGGGCCACAACGGAACCTTATTATTATTATTATCGCGAACCTTGGTGACATCCGGGGATTGGCTATCCTAACGCCGCATCAGTGCATATCACATAGATAAACACAGCACGCGCAACACATGCAAATGAGACGCAACGCCAGCGATACACATACGATGTTATAAAACATGAGGGACTTTTGATACAATCAGCGCCTGCATGTCGCGGTCAGTTGGCCAATTTCGGTAAGTTCTCTGATGAAAGACATTGCTTTGCCCTTGAGCTAATTTCAGGTTTTGCATTGGTGCGTAGCAGGGAGGCGATTCCACGCCGCCACGGCTCGATAGGGAAATGCCCTTTTCACGCACTCTAAGCGAGGGTGTTTTACAGCGCTCGTCTGCAGTACAGTTTCGTCATCGGTGACTCTGGTGTGCCGATGAGATACTTCAGATCGGCGCCCCATCAGGCTACTGATAGCCCGTGGCCCATCAGGCACGTAAATGGCGCGATGCCAGTCAGTATACATATAGAGTACATACATACATACATGCATACATACATATACATATACAGTCGCGGTGGGTGACAGTCTCGTCGAAATTGGGCCAATTTAGCTGTTTTCGGGTTTCGTGATGTGATCTCGTCTGCGTTTGCTTATCGTCAGCCCCGCAGGTTTCTCTTCAACGCACTCCGCATTTTGACCCCACTCACCAATACACCTATCCAACTGCCTACAACGCCGCATGCACTCAAACGCAGCACTCCACGAACCGCACCCTATACTCAGGCTCAGTCATCCCCCGTCAAGAACGTGTGTGAAGTTCGCAGTTGTACTCCTCTTCAGCAGAGCTCGACGAAAGCTTTGATTCTTGCGAGAGTTGTACCAACGATAGCCCAAAGTGCGTTCACGGCATAGTTACAGGCTTTTTGTAGATGTTTTGACCTCCAGAGGTCATAAAGGATCAGCCGACATGTGTCGACAAACATGATGCATGTTACACACCAATGAGTTGGGCATATTGCGCAGATTTCAGAAAGACGCTCAAAATGGTCCTAAAGCAAACAGATCGAAAGATGTTACTGACTCCCTTGACACCTAACACCTTTTTCGCATCATGCATTATCTTACATTGACTTAATCACCATACTCAACAAACTGGAACACCCCAAATGCTAAAAGTGTGCGACAAGGAATACACTCACAAATGCAAAGTTTTCAGATGAAACCAAATTTGGCGACCGAACTGGATGTTAAGCCCTGTTATCTCACGTGATGACCTTCCTCGAGCAAGCATGCGAGACACATCTCCAGCAAGCAGATATAATATTGTGGAAATAAATTATGTTGTATATAACAATACATAATGTTGTGTAAATTGTGAAAATAAATATAATATAATGGAATTGTGACAATTCCTCAATCAAACCATAGCAGGTCAGTGAGCACGTCATCACTGACGTCAACCCCTAGCGCACCGATATTTGTTGTGTGCATATAAAACGCGTAATGACTGATAATTAGGGCAGCATAACGTGCTGAAATAATCCGGCTATTTCAATTGACTGTACACACACACACTGCATCAAAGTTTACAGGTGGGACAAGTTAGAAGGACCAAACTGCAGTTCAGGCCATTTCAGGCGACGTACCGACATTATGCAGGCAGGTATGAATGCCACATTTCCAGAGACTAAATACAATGCCGACTCGAATGGTGCCAATTGCTTCATCAAATGAAGCCTAGTCTAAACGTGCGACCCTCCGACGTGAGAAATTCCAACCACTCTAATTTTCTCTAAAAAGTTACAAGTGTGGAGCAACTCAGATAACAACAGAATTTCTTGGCTTGTCCTTCCCTTTTAAATTTTGATTACATTTGTGTTGACATTAAACGAAACCAGCATTTTATGGATTTCAGCACGTTGGATTAAACTGGTTATCAACCATTACACATCAGGTGAGCAGCTAACGAATGTCGGTATGCCGCGGATTGGCGTGTAGAGGCCACAATTCTTGATGCTCCGAGAAATGCCAACAAATGCCATTTTCATCTGTTTGTATCACACTTGTGACGTTTTTAAATAAAATCAAAGGGATCAAAATTTTCAGGTCGTCAAGTTCCATGTTAAAGTCAACGGAAAATAATGTAAATAACAATCTCGACCAACCGACGTTGCAGCGACACGAACTCATCAAAAGAAAATAAGCAATCATAGGTGCTGTGAAGTTTGGGCCGACCTGTGCGAACTTTCACACGCTATCATGCGAAATCATGAACCTACTAGTTTCGGGAGACCTTCAACATGGTACATGCGCGCAGAGCACCCCCTAAGCAGCTGTTTCGATCTACACTCTAGAGATATACGGCTGTGGGGAGGCCAAACAGAACGGCGAGCTGAGCACAGCAGCGGTGGGCGGCGCGATCCGCCCCCAGCGCGGGCGGGCCCGGCCAGGTGAGCCCTCGCGGCAGCGCGCCGCCGACTGACCTCGAGCTTGGCGTTGTTCTGGAAGACGGTCTGCGTCTTGTGGACAAGCTGCGCCCAACAGGAGGCGAGCGCGGCCAGCTTGTGGCGTACAGCCGCCGTCAGGCCGCCCGCCTCGTCCGCCTCGGGCAGCGAGTCGGCCGCCTCGTCCAGCGAGTCGAGCACGCCGCTGCCTGCCGGCCGAAGCGTCCGACGGACCGTCAGAACTGGCCGCCGTCTCGTCAGCGGTCACCTGCTACGGCAGACGAAGGCCATGGTCGCATGCGGCACAAAACGATGTGACGACTCAACGAGGACTTAACGAGCTCTGTCCTGGCTGCTCACCCAAGTGACAATATAGACCCTGTACTACATTGCCCAGAACACCATGTACAAAGATTAGCTGAGCGGGTTCTAACCGGAAGGCGTGTGTTCACAATCATACGTTACAGCGGGGATGATTTTCGCACACAGCTAGAGTGCAGCTACCTGCTTTCAAAACCTACCAAGAATGGTGTCTAGGTCAACGAAGGTGACATCGAACTCCTTTTCCAGTGCATCCATCCACTGGAATGATAACGCTGTAACCGCCATTGCTCGACGCACCTGTAATCAAAACAGAATAGCACTGATGACGTACACATCGCGCAACAGTAGAGCATACTTCTGGCTGTCCGCAGAGCGACTAAGACCCGCACCAGGTGGCAACAACGTCACGTTGGGCTCGCATCAGGCGCGGGCAAGAGCCGCCACGCCAGCCAGCTACAATGCAGCTGGCAAGTGAACATTGTAGCTGCTCCTACTGAGTGGCATTGAATAAAATTGCATTTCACATTTGGTGCATAACAACAGGTGCAATTGGTAGTGTGCACTCCCAAGCTATACTGTCCTATGTGGGCGTGGCTGCACGCCGGCCGTGCGCGCTGGCTGTGTGCAATGCTGAAGAGCAGGGCAAGACATGAGTGCTGACTCAACACCACCAGCAGAGAAGACAAGGGAAGATAAGGCACGTCGTCGTGGCCGCTGCGAGTGCGCACTCGGCGGTCATGAGGAGGAACGATAGGGGGTCCGGCGGGACTGCGCGGACAGCTGGATGTTCCAACACCGCACTCCTCCCCTGCCACACAAGCAGCGTCTGGCGGGACTGCGCGGACAGACCGGAGGCAGCTCGATGTTCCAACGCCGCACTCCTCCCTTGCCACACAAGCAGCGTCTGGCGGGACTGCGCGGACAGACCAGGGACAGCTGGATGTTCCAACACCGCACTCCTCCCTTGCCACAAGCAAACATTCCCCTGAAGCACCTGGGAAGGGCCTGGCTGCTGAACAACAGATGTAGCAACTGTGTACCAGGCAGCATGTGACAATGGTGGATTGGGCTGCCAGAGAAAGGATGTGCCCCATGCACAGGTGCCATGCTGTGCAGTAACAGCTGCAGCAAGATGGTGTGAACTGGACTCATCACACTGAGACACCTGACTTATGGCCCAGGGAGCAGGCCTGGGCCTGGCTGAGGTCCCAACAGGCAAACAGTCAACCCTGGCACTCTGAGACAGTGGAATGGCACACCTGGATCTCCCAGCAGCTTTTGTCTGTCCACAGACAGTGCCATTGTGCCCATCAAGCAGCCTGATGTACTGGCAGTGTGTGGATGCACTGTGGAGCTGAGGCTACAGGTGTAGAAGCCACCCACAGAGTTCCTTGCCAATAGGATGATGCTGGTACATGCTCACCAGAACAGGACAACCACCTGGTCCACCAAGGCCAGCTAGTCCACACACAACACTGACTAGTTCGCATATGCTGGCAGACTAACTAATACAAGCTCCTTCACTAACACCAGCTGGGTCACCATGGCTGGTCAGATTGCCAGTGCTAGCTGGTTCAGCAGTGCTGAGTGGCTCACCAATGTTGGATGGCTTGCCAACCACTATTTAACAAAATGCTATGATGCAAATAACTTCCCAAACACAATGTTGCTCATATACTTCTGTGCCAGACACGGCCAATGTGAATAATGCACAGCAGAACGCACCATGGAGTGTCCACACTGCTTTAATTTTGACCAGCACATGACAACAACATATTTTGTGCATCATACTTCACATTCTCCTAGTAGAGAATACTGAGCAGCTACTTGCCAGGTGACTCAGATCATATAAGGCCCTGTTAGGTGCTCATGATAATACCTGCTCCTGCCTAATGCCTCATACTTCTGCCATGTTGCTTGAGCTTTAAAAAAAACATCAAATTCCAAGCTGTAATTTCCAGTTCCATCAAGCTTATCAAAACTGGAGAAAGCTGCTTAAAAATATGTGCTGTTAGTACACCTAAGAAGCAAGCATATATGTATTTCATGACCATTTTAAGGCACCTATTTGATCACTGGTGCCATATTGCATTGCTTGGTCACTGATCTACAGTCTCACCCTTACCCTGTAATTGATTATAAGGATCCTAAGATGTCTTTAAGATGCGGTTAAACATGTCACTAGTATGTTGCTGTCCACTCATATTATATTTCCAGTTGTGAGTACACATTAGCCAAGAGGGCACCACGTTCCAACTTAACAATGACAATTCATGCCTGACAGCAACATTGTCCAATGTGCGTGAAGGTGCACTGTGCACCCAAGTGCTCCAGGTTTGGTGTTTAACCATGGACACAGTGCATATATTAAAATATTGGTATGGTTATCTAAAGGAGGAATACCACTGTAATGTTTGATAGGGCAGACATGCTTAGAAAATCCAGCACAATTTAGCCAAAACTGAGTTCAGTGCAAATAAGGATAATTTGCATACAATATGTTCCTGGAAAGCCAGGTAAATGCCTTCATTCAGACTGCAAAACAACATCTGCAGCATGGATATCATCAATGGATGTGTAGTCAATCATTTTTGGTCTCCTTCAAGCAGGAGCTATTGAGTTAATGCTAGCTGATTGTGCTCTTTGGAAGTGTTGAGCATAAATGCTTATGGTTGTAATGCGTTTCTCCTAAAAAGAAGGCGACTTCTTCAAAAAGGCCATATTTTTCGTATACTGGCAGTGGATGTGCCTGCTCGGCTTTACGAGTGCTTCCTGATACATGGATACTTACCAGCGGCTTGAAAATGCCACACCACCGCTTACTACTGTGCACACAATAAAAGGCCAACTATCAAGTATCTACCCCTAAAGCCCCGCAATCGGTAATAGCGTGCACCTACACCCCAAACGTGCTTATTTGGGCCGCTCGATGCGAGACATACGCACGCGTGACGTCCTTCAGCACCTATTCTGGATTCCCCAAGTTCGCTGTAAACAACCTTGCGGAGGGACCAAAATACTGTAACGATTCCTCCTACTTGGCTCACATTTGGCGCTAGGTAAATGTGTTTTTTGTCAAGATGTTGCTTAAGATTTGATTGTGATAAATTTATTCATTCAAATGCGGAAAAAACACCATATTGGTTTATTTTCAAGGCGTAATTTAGTCATAATGCGCTCACAAATACCAATATGGATAAATTTTATTTTGCTGCGTTTTAGCATTTTGTCAGCTGAGCCCTCATCGCAACTGCGCCAGAATTGCAGGAGTTGAGTCGGGCTTTATGTTCGCGCGGCGCGGCCTTGACGCTCCGTATAGCCTAACAGGGATTAACCGCGTGGTGCACGGGTTCTGCGCGGTGGAGCTACAATTGGACTGGAATTGACCTGCAACCGCCTAAGTTTTCAACTAAGGAGGTAAAACAGTTTTGATTCTCTCACGCTCATTTTGTGGCTTATAACAACGCATCTGTTATGTGGTTTCCTTAATTTGCAGAACAGCAGTTGGAAGCTGTAAGCAAGCAACCGAATGTTGAGGAAAGAATGCAACGTACTGCTGTCTCCCAGGATCGAATTCGTGTCTGAATGCTTTCCAGCTCACAGTCTGAAGACTAGTGGTGATGTCAAATTCTGGTAGGTTGGTCTATTGAAATGTGTGTATGGACAGATCACAGAAGTTTTTCAAACCAAGGCAGATTTCATTGAGACAACATTGGGATGAGGTAGCGCAAACACATCCAATTTGGGAAGCTTGTCAAAGTGCTGGTGCAAAAAATATTGAATTGAATTAAAGAGTGTTCCACAACATGCAATACTGGTAGGATTACACTAGGACCAAATAATGTTTTGGCAAGGAAGGTTAACAAAATCTCCCTCAAATGACCAGTGACCAGATCTCACAGCAGAGTGAAAGGATCACTCAGCTGGAAAGCAAAGTCAGTGGCTTGGACACATCTCTCAGGGAGCACATGAGACAGGTTCAAGGATCCATGAAGGAACAGGAGGAGGCTGTGATCAGGCAGACAAAGATTATTGAGTATTCCTTTAAGGAGCAGGAGATACTGAAGAGTGCTTATGCAGACACTGTGAGAGGTTCATGTGACCAGGAAGTTCAGTCAGTTTGTAAAAAAGTGGAGTCTGTTCCTCTGCAGCCAGCCATTAGTATTGGGTCCAGAGCTGCCCAGGAAATCTCAGGAATAAACTCCAATAAACAACAAAAACAGTGACAACTACATTGATAAGGAAAAAAGGAAATGCACTGCAGTTGTTCTTTACCTACCAGAAGAGGCAGGTGAGTTCCAAAGTGACAGAACCCAACAAGATATGGCCAAGTTCTCTGAGATTGTGAGACAAGAATTAAATCTGAAAGTCCGTGTAGTCAAAGCCTTCAGGGCTGGAAAGAATCTTTCAGGTAAGAATGGGCTGATGATAGCAACACTTGAAAACAAAGAGACCAGAGCTGAGCTCCTGAAGCTTGCCTAGCACCTGTGGCATAGTAGCAACTGGAGTATGTTGTTCATTTCTCAGGACAAAACCCCAAAGAGAGGGAGGAGGATAAGAAACTGAGAGATAAACTCTTCAGGAGAACGGAGGTAGGTGAGCTTGACGCACTGATCAGGCAGGGCAAAATCATCAAGCAGAGTGCCCCATTGTCACACGTGGCTGATGAACTAAAAGGTACCAGTGTAGCTCACTCTATTGTACAAGCGGCAGCTGCAGCTACCCTGCAAAGGGATGAAACATTAACAGCTCCAGCAGTCTGCTGAGCTAATGGTCTCGGAGGCACCAGCATGGTTCTTCCGCTTGCCTCTGGACCAAATACAAGCCCAAGTGAGAACTCCAGGGGCACTCAAGCAGGATGCCCCCTTTAGTTTATTGGACCCTGCTGGTGGGGGCATTGCAGGTCACCTCACTCGGGGTCCCAGGGGTTCTAGGGGTTCTGACAGGACTGATAGCATCACAGCTCAGTCACTTGGGAGGGATCCATGGATCAACAAACTTGGGCTCAACCACAATGACTGCATAAGGCTCCTCAGTGCAGGGGTAAGCAAGGTCTGAAAATATTGTGCACCAATGCAGACCAGTTCCTTAGTAAAAGGGATGGTTTATGTATGCTTATTTCTGACCATAAGCCAGATATCATGCTATTGACTGAGGCCCTTCCCAAAGCCCAGAAGCTTCCCATTGCACCATCTCTCCTATCAATTTCTGGGTATACCTTGTGCACAAACTGAAATCTATCTCAGCCCACCCTTGGATCTAGTGGCAGGAGAGGCATGTGTCTGTGTCCAACTTATTAAACACAGCTGAGCACTCATTTGGGTCAGGTCCTCCGGAGCAAGTGTGGCTGAAGATGGCCTTGAGTGTGAAGGATGCCCTGCTACTTAGCTGCATGTACAGAAGTTCATCAGGCAATATCAAGACAGTGTGGGCCAATTGAAAGACCTTCTTCAGAAAGCATGCAGAGCCCAGTTCTCTCACTTGGTGGTGTAGGCAACTTTAACTTGCCTCAGGATGACCTGGCATCAGAGTGGTTGTCAGCTCCAGAGAGTCACCCAACCCACTCACTGATAGACACCATTCAGGGCTGTTTCTTGTCCCAGCATGTCCAGCAGCCAACACGCCACCGGGTTGGTGAAGCCCCTATTGTTCTGGACGTCATTTTCACAAATGAGGAGGGCATGGTGAGCCAAATCAAATACCTGCCTGGGCTAGGTAACAGCGACCATGTGGTTGTCAGGTACACTTTGCTCTGCTACTCTGGGCTACAAACTCCTCGTGCCAGCCAGCTGACACAAATTACGAGCATCTGGCTGATGCCCTCAGGTCAATGGACTGGTCCCTGATGGAGAGCCTCAGCCCCGAAGATGCTTGCAAGTTCTTCAAGGAAAGAATCGCCAGGGCTACCGAGGTTTGCTCCGTCAGGAGAAGGACTAAACCTAAGAAGAGCTTGTACATGAACCCAAGGGCGATGCAACTAAAGAGGACCAAGGAAAGACTATGGCGAACGTACATGCGGATTCAGGATGTTCGGGACCACGCCAGGTTTGTGCGTTGTCGCAGTGACCTTCGGAAGTTGACGAGAAACCTTCGGAAGGAGTATGAGTTGAAGTTAGTAGCAGGCCTCAAAAGAAACTTCAAGGCCTTTTGGAGGTACGCCAACTCAAGACTACGCACAAGATGCAGGGCAGAAAACCTTGACAATGATGGAGTGTTGACCAGCAGTAACGAAGGAAAGGCCAGTGTCCTCTGTAAATTCTTCGCCAGTGTTTTCACGGAAGAAGGGACTAGTGTCATGCCTGTGTTGCTGTGCAACTGTACGGGACCGTTTCTGGACAACGTGGACATTTCTTACCAGGCAGTGGCAAAGAAATTGGCTTCTCTGAAGACCTCGAGCGCCTCTATGCCAGACGATGTCCATCCAAGGCTTCTTCGCGAGTCCGCCGATGTCCTGGCAGCACCCCTCAGCATGCTTTTCCGGAAATCTTTGGCATGTGGAAGGCTCCCCCTGAAGTGGAAGCTTGGCGAGGTAGTCCCGATCTTCAAGAAGGGTAACCGACAATCCCCAGCAAACTACCGCTCAGTGAGCCTTACTGCCATTCCCTCCAAGATACTTGAAATTTTCGTCCGTGATGCCCTGCTCAATCACTTCTCGGGGTCTGGATTCCTCCATGCAGCCCAGCATGGGTTGCTCCCTAAGCGGTCCTGCATCACCCAGCTGTTAGAGGTCATGGAGGATTGGAGCGCCGCGGTAGAGGATGAAGAGCCGGTGGATGTGGCATACCTGGACTTCAGCAAAGGCTTTGATTCCGTACCTCAGAACCGTCTGCCCTCCAAGGTTCATGCGCACGGTGTGAGAGGTAATTTGCTATGCTGGATCAGGGCTTTTCTTACCCACCGGATGCAGAGAGTGCGAGTCCAGAGCTCGAAGTCGCACTGGACCGACGTCGTCAGTGGCATCCCGCGAGGATCCGTACTTGGACCAACGCTGCTCATAGTTTTCGTGAACGATCTGCCAGAACAAGTGCGAAGCGTGGTCAAGATGTTTACGGATGACACCAAGGTCGACTGTCGTGTCCCTGACTAACTCACCTCTGCAGGCTGACCTCGACGCCTTGGCCAAGTGGTGAAAGGAGTGACTGCTCCCTTTTAGTACAGCAAAGTGCGAAATAATGCACATTGGGAACTACAACCCGTGGCTGACGTACCTCTTGGAGAGCGCCGAAATCGCGGTCGAGTCCACCGAGAAGGACCTCGGGATCTTCGTGGATTACCGGTTCCAGTTCCACGTGCAAACGGCGGAAGCGATGTCCAAGGCCAACCAGATGCTGGCGGTCGTGAGGTGGTCTTTTGTCAACATCGAGGCTCGCACGTTGTCATTGCTCTTTAAGATCTTAGTACGTCCGTACCTAGAGTATGGCAACGTCATCTGGGGCCAACTCGGCAAATGGGACCAGAAGCGGGTGGAACGGGTTCGGCGACGAGCTACCCGGCTTGTCTATGAAGTGAGGCGCCAGCCATACCCTGAGAGGCTCAGACTCCTTCAGTTGCCCTCGCTGTACTATTGTCGTCGTAGGGGAGATATGGTAACAATGTACCAGCAGTTTAACGGAGGTATGACGCTGTCGGAAGAGGAGTTCCTGACAGGGCACAACTCGGAGGTGACGAGAGGACACCAATAGAAGCTCAGAAGACCTCAAGCTAGGACTCTCGTCCGTCGTAACTCATTCAGCACGCGGGTTGTCAACGATTGGAACGCTCTTCCACACCCGGTCGTGTCGTCGACCTCAGTTGAACAGTTCAAGTCTAGGCTTGATACGTACTGGGCTAACATC